TGTTAGCCATGCTTTCTAAGGCCCACTTGACTTCACTCTCCAGGATGTCCGGCTCAAGGTCAGCAACCACATTGTCTGGGTTGTCCGGGATATCCAGATCTTTCTAGTATAATTCTTCTGCGTATTCTTGCCACCTGTTCTTGATGTCTTCTGCTTCTTTGAGGTCCCTGCCATTTTAGACTTTTATCATGTCCATCTTTGCACAAAATGTTCCTTTCATATCTACAATTTTCTTAAAAAGATCTCTGTTTTTTCCCTTTCTATTATTTTCCTCTATATCTTTGCACTGTTCATTTAAGATGGCTCTCTTGTCTCTCCTTGCTATTCTTTGTAAGTCTGCATTCAATTTTCTGTAACTTTCCCTATCCCCCTTGTTAGTTTTTGTTGCTGCCTCCTGTACAATGTTACGATCCTCCATCCATAGTTCTTCAGGCATGATAAATGGTACTTCAGTGCTAAAACTACCAGGCATGTTCAAGGACAAAAGTGCAACACCTCAGACAGCACTGCATTTTCTACTAAGAAGACATAGGCGAATGCTGTGTACGTAATACAATTTATTTTGGGTTTGTATGCATTGTTACATAGAAATAAAAGTGAGCAAGGGCCTAGTTTAAATTTGCTAACATAAATTGCAAGGCTATAGTCCGGTCATGCTGACTGGTGAAATTTTTGACTGACTGGCGAAACATTCTAAATTTTTCAAGCCCTGGTGATCATAATGTTAAAATAGCAATGGAACAGAGAGAGAGGAGCTAAAGAGAGCTAAAAATACATGTTTAACATTTTTTTCAACTCATATGGAAAGAGGTATGAAAGGAAAGAATGACCATTACATGAAAGAGAAAAGTAATGCTGAGGTACTAGGACACCTGCTTCCCTACTAAAATGCAGACATAACAAAAAGAAAATAATATAATATGTACTATTTATAGCTAGAGATGTAGTTCAGTATTAAAACCTTGTCCAAATACTGAACAAAAAGTTGACTATATAATTAAGAGGAATAGATACAGTAAAGTAACAACAAATAAAAGCCAGATTGTAAGGGTGTGAGTAGTGAATTAGTAAGAACTGAGAAGATAAGTAAGAATAAATAAGAATGAGTAATTCTAACAACTATAAGTTCCATAAGGTGACCTTTGGAATGAGAAAACAGGAAGAGAAGGAAAAAAGGATCAAGAGGATCAAAAGAAGATGAGATATAAAGCACACACACACAAAAAAACCAGATGAGAATATAAGCTTTAAAAATAAGTAATACAGTAACAAAGAACAGTGGCGCAAGAGTTTACAAAGTAAGAGTGGAAGAGAGCTTTTCTTAAAATTGGGAGATTTTGAAAAGAGTAATACAAAGCATGGCTGTTAAAAGAGATGGAAAAGATTTTAAAAAATTACCAAGAGATTAATTAAAAACTGTGCAAGAAGAGGAGCACAGCTCAAATTAACTAGGGTCCCCATTTTAGATTCAAGATGGTAAACTAAAATTGCTGCTTTTTAGTATGTACTGTAGTCTACTATAAATGAGGATGAATATGAATATATGGATAATATGAATATCCCTGTCCCAGCTGGACTTAATGAGGGTCCAGCCCCTAGGACCGGACCGTCCACTCACACATCCCAGTACCACAAAGGTCCTGCTCTTCCAGCCATTGGTGCCAGAAGCTCTGCTGTTTCCCTGCTCTGTTGGCCAGTCCAGGCAGGAGGAAGGAGGATGAGTCTCTCCACATAGCTGATGAGCAGCCAGCCAAGCAGGGAAACAGCAGAGCTCCTGATGCCATTGGTGGGAAGAGCAGGACTTTCACAGCACCAGAACATGTGAGTGGACAAGCTGGTCCCAGGGGGTGAACCCTCATTAGGTCAAACTGGGACAGGGACATTTGTATTCATTTACAAATACTGTACCAATAGAGGATGAGTCTCTCCACATAGCTGATGAGCAGCCAGCCAAGCAGGGAAACAGCAGAGCTCCTGATGCCATTGGTGGGAAGAGCAGGACTTTCACAGCACCAGAACATGTGAGTGGACAAGCTGGTCCCAGGGGGTGAACCCTCATTAGGTCAAACTGGGACAGGGACATTTGTATTCATTTACAAATACTGTACCAATATCCCCATCTCAAGCAGGGAAACAGCAGAGCTCCTGATGCTGTTGGTGGGAAGAGCGGGACTTTCACAGCGCCAGGACACATGAGTGGACAAGCCGGTCCCAGGGGCTGGACCCTCATTAGGTCCAGCTGGGACAGGGATATTTGTATTCATTTACATACCAATGTCCCCATCTCCAGTGTCTACATAAGTGCCTACATGTACCATATTTTTCTGTGTATAAGATGCTACTTTTTCCTAAAATCATTACACTAAAAGGAGTGTCTTTTACTCAGAAGTAAGCTAAGAACACAGAGAGAACAAAACGGCCCTTGTCTCTGCAAACAGGCTTCCTTCAGTCACGAGGTTTAGCTTCCTCCAATCAAGAGCCTTATGGAACTGACATCAGCTGATGCTGAACAAACCAATTGGAACACACCTCATTGGAGGTGGAGCCTGTAGGCTCAGGTGCAACATAGATCCCTAATATCTGAGTGTTCTGAGGCCAAAGGCTGAATACTCAAATCTACGTTTTGTTAATTTTGGGGCTAGAAAAATGGGAGAGGTGTCTTATAAATCGGGGCATCTTTTTATTACGATATTTTTTTTCAGTCACGTGCTTCGGCAGGCAGTTTGCTGCAAGATTGTAGTAGCAGACCTACATTTTTGGGCCCTGGAGCTTGAACTGCTGTGGGGGGCACTTCATAACCAGCAACGAGGTCTGGGTACCCACTCTTATTTTCTTTAAAGGAGGTGTTTCACAAGAGATCACCATAATTATTTTTAAAGGTGGACTAAAGTTGTCTTTGAAGCCCTTCTGGGATCAGGGGCCCTGAAGCTTAAGTTTCATAGTACAGTAGATCCACCCCTGAAGGTTGTTACTGGATATGGGCACAAATTGAGCCATCCTTATATGAGCCGACTTGTTGTCCCTTGCATGCTTGCCCATTCTTCGTGTTACACACACTTCCTTTCCCGCCTTCGCAGTGTGATGTCCCACTCACCATTTGCAGTGTCCTCTTCCTCTTTCTCCCTCTGCCAACCATTCAAAGCAGTGGGGCAGGAATTCTTGCCTCCTCATCTGCGTGGTGGGCTGAGGGAGAAGGAGGAAGGAGGAAGAGGACGCTGCAAACAGGGAGTGGGTTGTTGCTCTGGGGAGGCGGGGAGGAAAGCACGCACAACCGAAGGAATGGGTGAGTGTGTAGGGGAGGCAGGCACTGTGCCCACACAACACCTGTGCAAGCTCAGTGACTCCTCGGCCCAAAGATGGACAACTTAATTTGTGCCCATCTCTAGTTGTTACAGTTTTTAAAAATTATTTTTCCAGGAAGTATCGAGGAACATTGAGAAGCATTTGGGAGTACAAAAAAGGCTTGTGTGCTGTGGACCTACTGCTCTCATAAGATGATATTATGATTATTTTGACAGTTACACGAAGAGAGATGGATTACAATCTAAAAACTAGAATGTATCTCAGTGATATGTTTAATGTCATGGATAGTTTCGGCTCCACGAGTACTGAGCAGAATCTGATTCACTCAACTGATGAAGCCTTCTATGAACAGAATGGGGAAATCACTGGATTTCATAGGCTGATGGAGGCCTCCTGCTTGTGGAGGAAATTACTGTAGCTGAATTCTGCCCTTTGTGTATATAGTCTTACCCAAGCAGCCATCTACAAGACTGGGATAATAATACTGTCCTATTTTCATAAGATTGTTGTTAAGAGTTATTGAGATCATGTATATGAGAAACTTTGATTCCACAGAAAAAGTGATATTTATTTATAGTGAGAATCAATGGCTGGAATTCTGGTGCACAGCTCCATGCATGTAAAAGTTTACGATGTCATCAGCCATGGGTTTTTAAGCTTTAATTTCGTTTTTCCTCCCCCACATCAAGCTCCAAGGCTCTCTAGCAATTCCTGTTTGCTAGAGTTTCAGCTATTAGAGGCTCTCCCGAAGGCTTCCCCAGGTTGAAAGGGATCCCCAAGGAGCCTTGGAACTTGAGAAGTGGGGGACATGAAGGTTTAAGTTGTAGATTAAAGCCCATGGCTGGTGACATTATCAGCTTTTTCAAGTGTGGAGTTTCACAGTAGGGTTCTGGCCAGTACTGGTTACTACCACAGAAGCTGGCATTTCATAGTATGTTTCTCTACAGATGCAGCAACTTGAAAAACAAGTTATTGATGCAGATCGTCAAGCAGAAAAGGCGTTTCAGCAGGTATGTTCATAACGAGCAAATACACGAAATAGCAGTATTTTTAAAGTTACATTAATATATATTCATTTTATTTATTTTGTCTTTTGACCCTGTTCTGGAACAAGCTTTGCCTGTGAAAGCAGCACATAATATTAATTGTAAACTATATTGTAGACTCTGTTGTATGGCTTACAAATTAAACATAGGATACATAAACATAAGAAAAGACTGCAACCACTAGGTAATATTATTTTGATTTTAATCTGACCCCAGTTGGCAAACCTAATGAGTTTATCACCCCAATTCCCAAATGAAGAATTCAAATTTTCTGTGTCACACCTGCCTGCTCCCCGGCCAAACAGAAACATGTTTGTAGTTGCAGATCGTCAAGCAGAAAAGGCGTTTCAGCAGGTATGTTCATAACGACCAAATACACGAAATAGCAGTGTTTCTAAAGTTACATTAATATATACTGTATTCATTTTATTTATTTTGTCTTTTGATCCTGTTCTGGAACAGGCTTTGCCTGTGAAAGCAGCACATAATATTAATTGTAAACTATATTGTAGACTCTATTGTATAGCTTACAAATTAAACATAGGATACATAAACATAAGAAAGGACTGCAACCACTAGGTAATATTATTTTGATTTTAATCTGACCCCAGTTGGCTAAACCTAATGAGTTTATCACCCCAATTCCCAGATGAAGGATTCAAATTTTCTGTGTCACATCTACCCGCTCCTCAGCCAAACAGAAACATGGAGGCCTGAGACAATAGAGGCTCCAGCGTGCACGCTACACTGTTCATTTCAAAGAAAGGCCAAATGGGGAAGTCTTGTGTGCACACATGTTCTGTGCTGCTTTGTTTGAAGGACTGGGATGTGATATTCAATTCACAGCTGCCTCAGCTGTAACCTTAAAGCAACATCCAGACTACTTTCTGCAGTTCTCCTGACTTGCATCTAAGAAAGACATGCCTAGTGAAACCCATCATGCCAAGAACTTTTTGACTTTACATCTAAGAGTAACTTTCCTGGCAAAATCCATCTTGTCATGAACTTTTGGACTGTTAAATTCTTTACATTGTTACAAGCCTGATGAAGTGGTGTTTAATCTATGAAAGCTCGCATATTGTATGATTATTTTTAGTGGTCTATAAGGTATAACCTATTTTTGTATTTGATTTTCTATTTACCACACAACTCCCCTTTATTTCAGTAAATAAAAGAAAATGCATAGAATGGTTGGAAAAGTCAGAGAGAAGAAATTGGATTGATCATGCCAGAATAAAGTTTGAACTGGGAATAAATATTTATAGTTGTACTTTAAGCATGGTGGAGCAGAGGGAACTAGGCACTTTATAAAGATATGTTGGGGATTTTCCAGGAAAAAAAAGTTTAGCTGGCTTTGCTTCAGGATGGTCAGAATGAGGAATACCAGATGTTGCTGAACTGTAGCTCCCATTGGCCTTACTCATAAAAGCCAGTGGTGATGAAAGCTAAGTATTGCAGTCCAACAACATCTGGAAGGTCACATTTTGTCTACCTCTTTTTTTACTGGGTCTAAAGCACTGTGACTCTTCAAAGCCTCTCCAGTAATGGCTGTGTGAAGTCAGGTTCACAAAAACGAATAGTAGAGATAAGACTCCTCCATGTATCAAGACAACTCTGTGAAATTTCTTGTCATGCAGTTCCAGAGAGTTTTCCTTATGATGCTGTAGTAAAAACATGCTTGCATTAACCACCTGAAGAAGTTAGAAAGTTCTAATTGGAAATGGATTGTTAAGACATGCACACCTGGCAAATAGATTGTTGTGCTATCATCTGTGGCACTGTACATTCTCTTTTCTACATGAAAATGCATGAAGAAACACTAGGTAGGAACTGAGACCATTCTATAACCTTGTGAAATGTGCTTTGGACAGAAGATTTGGACAATATACATTAAGTAGTTACTATAAGGATTCTTCCAGATTTGCTTCACTGGTGAAGCTGAGTATAGAAAGAAAGAATATAATGTTAAATGCTAGGAGAATAAATGCTTCTTATGCTTCATGTGATGCTTTCGTGACTTTCGCTGAAGGCTGTATAAACATACTAACAATTCATAGATGTCTGAGCTCTGACGTTCCTTTTCATCAGATTTATTAGACATGTTCAGCCCTTTTCGCACCATCACATGTTCTACTATGAAGTATATTTATACAAAAGGGTGGAAAATGTTTTGAAATGATTTTTTTTTCTTTAATAGAATGGGAAAGGATTTGTGCCTGTAACTGCAATTTTAACTGTATAACTGACACACAAGCCAGACAACCAGTGGGACGAGTGCAGGAATTCTTAATTATCAAAATCTCTCCCTACTGGTAACATGATCCCCTATGCCAGGGGTGTCCAACCTTTCACCTTCCCTGGGCCACATTAGAAGATGAAAATTTGGTTTGGGCCGCACATACATTTGGTTTGGGCCGCATGGGGGGGCAGCCCTAGCCGTCCTCTGCAGCCCCGCTCCAAGTGCGCTTACCGGCAGCTGTGATCTCAGACAGCAGAGGCTGCCAGCTTCGACTCCGGCGGCTTTATGGGGCCGGGAGAGGGTCTACCTATTGACGGGGATGGCACAATGCAGTCACGCAACCCCCCTGTCCCCTCCCACTCCTTCCTTCCTTCCCTCTCTCCCCCTCTACTGTTGTGACATGCCCCGGCCAGATTCCAGCCACAAGCGCTGGCAGTATATCTTGAAACTTTGGAATTTCTTTAAAAATAAAAAATTGCACTGGGCTGCATTACGAGCTGACCTGGGCCGCATGCGGCCCTCGGGCCGCAGGTTGGACAAGCCTGCCCTATGCAGATATAATTCACAGAACAGGATTTTGGTCACAGTATAGTAAGAAAGCAACATACCACTTATTTCATTTCCTAATAAAAATTTGCAACATTCAGTATATTTTTCAAAGTACACATGCCCCCCCCCATGTGTAGGAGCATGCCATACTGTTTGAGAATCACTGGTCTAGATCTAGGCAAAACGCTTCATCATATAATGATTACAGATATTTAATCTGCCATTTAGTTATCCTAGTTGGCTAGGCATTGACATACATGTCAAGAAACAGTACTGTATTTTCAAGAAACAACAGGTGAAAAAATGAAAAAAGGGGAGTGAAAAAGAGAGGTACCTTGCAAATATAATTCAAAGTGCTAATTCAAAGAAGGGTTTCAATACTCAGATATGGAAATGCTTTGATTTTTTGAGTGGATAGCTCAGTAAGTTAGGGACCTCACTATAGAACCAACAGTTGGGAGTTTAATTCGTCACTGTGCATCGCAGAAGAGCCAGCCTATGTAGCCTTGGGCAAGCTGCACAGAGTTCCAGGATACCCCTAGAAGAAAGGAATATCAAACCATTTCTGAATACTCTTTACCTGGAAACCCCTGAAAAGGATCACCATAAGTTATAATTGACTTGGTGGGACACAGTTTTGTGTTCATCATCAGCTATTAACTAGAGTTCATGAGATATTCAGTTTGTTATTTCAGTCTGACCTTCTGTTTTACTTGTGTTACCATTGCTTTTATGTTTGTTTTATACTCATGAGGATCCAATATATACTTCCATTGGAATCCTGCTTCTCCCAGAACCAGCAATCCCTGCTCCTTCTGCAGCTTCCTCCCATAGACTCTAGATACCAGGTTTTATCGTACTCAAAACGGCAATAGCACGAGCGGTTTTTGTATTGTGTCAGCTAGATGGATATTACTCCATCAGTTCTACAACCAGGGCATGGTCATATGTGCAAGATGTCTGCAAAATAGGCAAAAAGGATCATATGGTTGCCATTTTGTAGTTGTGCGATCCAGTGTGATTTTGGCCTTGTTCAAGAGGTCTGAGAAACCTCTTGGAGCCTGTATGTGTGTTTGTTATCATGTAGGGCTGCAGCAGGAAGGTGAGGGACATAAAACCTTAATTCTTAGATTCAGAAGTACATTGATGGGTAGAGATGTGCATAATTGGATCTTGGTCTCTGTGGTTATATATTCATTGTTTTTAATTTTGTGCAGTGCTGTGAGAGGTTTTGCTATAAAGCTAGAATAGCCATAAATAAACTAGGCTAATTGAATGAAATTTCAGAGACTGAATGGCATTTCAGTAGACTAGTGGCTGTTTTTCATCTTCCTAGACAGTGTTTGTAGTCCTCTGTTGGAAATAGAATAGATGGATTATTGGTTTAAATCAGTGGTTCTTAACCTTGGGTTACTCAGGTGTTTTTGAACTGCA